TCGCTTCTGATAAATAGTTTATACAAAACTCAATAGCTTATTTTGTGATATACCTTTCTACGATCGAAGCTTTTGGTCGATGATGATTCTTTGTATACCCTTTAAAATTCTTCATGTAACTCTCTACCGAATACATCCACCATAAATAAACTGGACCACAAATTCTAATCTCTCTTACTAGATGAACAACTAAGTGAACCATAATATCAAATAACGCTGGAGGGGAAAACATATCTAATTGGCACAATATAATTTCCGCTTCGTGTTCCAAGTCATCTAAATTTCTAGAATCAATAACTTTACTATATATAGCATTGAAGAATAAGTACAATTTGATTATAGTTATCCTTATATTTCTTGGTAAAATGTCATGGATAGCCACTGGTAGAAGTTGTTGTATCAAGACATGACAATCATGAGATTTTAAGCCAACTAATTTGTGATCATTCTTTGATACAAGTTTCTTCACATTTGATGAGTACCATTGTAGAACTTTGATACCCTGTAAAAAATTGCAAAAAAAAACTCCATTTTTAGACTGAGTGTGACATGTTGGGGGAAAATAAGTTATATTTCCTACTTCTTTTGGGGCTAACTTTTTCCGTATGCCCATCCTAATCATATCTTCGCGGGATTTCTTAGTATATTTTGTCTTGCCTTTAATGTTGAGAAGTATTCCAGTTAAACTATCACATACATTTTTATCCACATGCATCATATCAAGATAATGTCTTACATCAAGACTAGACTAGTATGGAATATCAAAGAATACCGACCTCTTTTTCTAAATATTTTCTCCACTGACTTTTTTTGTTTCTTTCCAAAGACAACATTAATATGTTGTTGTCTTTTATAAACTTCCATCCCGGTTAAGGTCTTTGAAGTGATATCAAACTCCTGATATCTATTAAAAGTCTTCCGCAATCTACGATATGGATGATTAAGTCTTAAAAAAATTTGATGCACAAGATAAACTGGCTTTTTCCTTTTTGTAATTGGTGGTGACGTATATCAACTTCACATGTAGGACATGCTTTATGTCCCTTAACGTTTTACCCAGATAAATTATTGTATGCAGGAAAGTTATTGGTTGTGCAAAACAACATGACACACAACTTAAAGTTATCACATGTATATGCATCATCAACATCAACGCCTTCCTCCCATAATAGTCTTAAATCTTTGATCAATGGCGTTAAATAAACATTTATGTCGTTCCCTGGTTATTTTGAACCCAAAATCATCATTGATAGCATCATATACTTGCGCTTCATGCACAACCATGGAGATAGGTTGTAAATTATGAGAAATACGTGCCATGATGTAAGGTTAGTACTCAAATTACCGAAAAGGTTCTTTCCATTGGTGGCAATTCCAATCCTAAGGTTTCTCGATTCAAAGGCAAAATATGGAAAGAAGGAATCAATTTTCTTATATTGCACTGAATCAGCTACATGGATAATTTTTCCATCTCGCACTCTTTCATTTGCATGTCATGAAGTATTCTTGGTGTCACTAACATTAGCAAACAATCTCTTGAACATTGGAATTATTGATAGGTACAACATCACCTTGGCGAGAATACCCTTGTTAGTTACACCATCATTATCATCAACACCATTATCCTTCTACTTATCCCCATACCTCGGGCACTCCTTTAAGATTTCAAACTCTTTCATATATAAGATGAAATCATTACAACATGTATGTATTTTGACATAGTCCAAACACATTGGGCACAATATCTTCTTTGCCTCATAAGTACGGTTCGACAATGTGTTACCTTCAAGAAGTATTTCTTTCAACAATTCAAACAATTCAGTGAAAGTTTTATCCGTCCACCCACCTCTTGCCTTACGATTAAATAGTCTTAACACAATTAACAATCTTGTAAAACTTTTACATCCCGAATATAACGAATCTTCCATGTCTCTTTGCAAAGTATATACTCCATTATCTTTCTTGAAAGCATCTACTCTAATATCATGAATCGTATCTTCTAGAGTATCATTCATAAATTCTTCATCTTAAAATGTATGTGACAGAGGTCTCTTTTTTGTTCCTTCACCATGCCATACCCATTTCGTGTAATTTTGAATAATTCTATCACAACCACAATGATTGAATATAACATCCCTTGGATGTTTTTTCATATTATAACATTCTTTACAAGGACACCAAAAAATCTCATTATTGTCAGGAATATTTTTTTCAGGAAATCAAGAAATTGTATCATTCCAATTTCATACTCTTTACTTAATCTATTGAGTTTCATCCAACTATGATCCATAATCACATAAAGCTTCTGAAAATAAAATAAAAATAATACAACCAACAAAAAGGAACACTCAATCTTAATAACCGAAATAATAACAACAAAACAATGACAACAACATCAACTGTGGAAACAACAACAACATTAATGGAGAACAACAACCACAACAACAAAAACAACAACAATAATGGACAAAACAACAACAACAACAACAATAACAACATACCAGAGAATAATGGTGAGAGAGTTTTTTTGTTCACTAGGGCTTCCGACCTCCTTGGAGAATAATGGTGAGAGAGTTCTTTAGTTGACTGGAGAAGTTTTCTTTCTCTAGGGCTCGAAAAGTGAATGAGGTAAATACTGATGGGATAAAAAATATAAAGAGTATTTATCACTGTTTTTACTGAAAACTGAGGTAACATATTCGACGTAAAATCTATAAAAAAAATAAATGTGCCTTTTTGGTTTAAAAGAGAATAAAAAATTAGAGAATTTTTATCTCAATTTTACAGAAAATCGGGGTAACATTTTCGACGTAAAATCTATAAAAAATAAAAGTGCCTTTTTGTTTCTAAATAAAACACAAAATTGCAGGAGCTGAGAATCAAATCTCAAACCTTGAGCATATATTTATGTCAGCTTTTGTTAAAATCGAAGTAACAAATTAATTTTTTTTTAAAAATAAAACAATGCACTCTCATTACATATACCCTCGGTTTTTTATTGTTCGTGGTGAAAGTTTCGTCATAATAAATATTATTTATTGTAGTGACATCCAAAATAAACTCTAAATACTCTAACCGCAAAATCAAACATACAGTTATAAGCAACGACAATCACGTTCTACAACTTGGATCTAAGAAAGATGATCCGCCAAATTGGTTCGAGTTGGGTTTGGTTAAGAAGGCTGAGTCTGGTCTTTAGATTTCCTTCTAGTGAGACCCTTGGCGTGGTGGTGTTCCTCTCAAGATTAGATTTTAGAGACTTTACTCTATTTTCCAAATTCAAGAGGGGACTGTGGGTGAGATATGGAAGTGTGTTCAGGGAAGAATTACTTGAGACCCTATGTAGAAATATCGTTCTCCGTTCATGAAGAATCCCTGATCATTGAGTTCTTATCGGTTCTCCAAAAGGTTCAGTTCAATGAGAAAAATGACTGGTGAGTCTGGAGACACGTTAGAGATGGCCCCTTCTCTATAGCATATTCTTATTAAATCCGTTTTTTCCCTTCTAAGATGGTGATTTTTTCTTAACAACTTTGTGAGACATGTTTTTATCAAAGGAAAACTTTTTCCAACAGAATGTCATTAATGATCTGGAGAGGACCTTGTGTACCCTTTGTGAGAATCGATTTGAGTCAATCTTTCATATGTTCATGACTTGTAGGTTGGTTTTTAGTGTCTAGTATAGAATTTTTAGGTGGTTATGGGAGCAATTGACTCATCCTAAAGATCTTAGGTGTATTTTTTGAAATTTTCCTTTTCTAGAGGTATGTTTATTATTATTTATCATGTTGTGGTGTAGTCTATCTGATATGTTCACGATGATAAGTTTTGTATCGATTCGTCAACAAATATGAAAGAGCTGGAGAATAAGAATTTTTTTTAACTTGAAGTTGACTTCTTAACACATCCATTTAAATTCTCTCTTTTTATGACTGATTTCAGAACTCTATCATGTGTTTGCTAAGTGCTAACCATCCATGTGTTGAAAGAGTCCATACAAAATTTTACTCTAATTTTAAATAGATTTTCTGCTAATGAACGGCGGAATTGATCCTATTGTTCGCAAGACCGGGTATCAATATTTAAAATAAAAAAAAATTAAAATTTCTAACCTAGCCTCTAGTGGTGTTTAGTGGCCTGTTAGTGTTTGCTTGAAATTTTGATCTTATGCTGGTGAGTTTAGGACACCGTCTCCTGTAATAGATCTCCCACATAAGAGTTTTTTTTTTTTTTTTGCAACTGTTGTATGCACGAGTTTTTTTAATAATTTTAATTTTTTTAGTGTCATCAATATTTGCAAAGATTATTTTTTCCCGGGGTTAATAATAATAACCCCGCTAAATGCTTGAAAACGGAAAAGCGAGTTCTCTTACGTACCATAGCATGAGCTGTGGGTTTGGTTGCTAAACTAATTAGATCCTTATTAGGTGTTGTCTCGCTGTTGGTGGTGAGTTATTGTTGCACTTTATTTCCCTTCTTGAATTTAGTTGTTCTTTATCTTTATGGTTTTGGGTTCATTTTGTCCTTGTTGTCTGCTGAACCGTTGTGCCCTCTTTGCAGGCTTTCACTCTTCTATATTATAATATATTATTTGACCATTAAAAAAGAACACGTTGTAGAAACCAATTTTGTAATTTTGATATTTTAAAATTAAACTACCCATCTCAAATTTCTTAAATCGTCCAAATAACAATATCGTTTATCTTAATAAATTTCACTCCATTTATTCGTTATTTTTCAATCCAAATATCGCTTTAAAGGCATGGAGGTTTTGGAGTAAATAACACTTCCCCTTTTTCAAACAACAAATCTGCGGGAAATGATAAGAAATGTGAAACAAACCGATGTACCATGCATTTCAGCACTATCAAAATGTATTCCGATGGGTTAGCTCCATAATATGGAGATTCAGAAACTAACCTCTCAAACTCTAGACAAACCTCAATATCTATAGTGAAGCTAAAAATTACATCACAAAATACATTCCATTGAATAACCAGCTAATACATTCCTCCAAGTCTGTCTCGTCCAACGCCACCACGCCTATCATCTCTTCCTCCAACACGGTTCATGACATTATCCCTGCGATAGTCTTTTGCTGGTGGGCCACCTCTCATGGGAGAACGGCTTCTTTCTCTCGCATCCCGAGTCCACCGATCGCCACTGCCGCGATGGGGAGGAATTGACGGCAAAAGAGGTGCAGGTGGTGACAGTGGCCTTCTCGGTGACAGTGGCCTTCTCGGTGACAGTGGCCTTCTCGGTGACAGTGGCCTTCTCTCGAATCCTTTCCTTTCATTGGAGAAACCGTCTCTGCCGCGATCTCTATTATCCCAGTCCAATGGAGGTGGCCTATCAAACTTATTTCTCCCCCTGTAGGCATCATCCACGTAATCAATACGCTCTCTATGGACATTGGGTTCTGGAAACCTACCTTCGTGTCGGAGGGGTGGCAAAGGAGCAGCTGATCCATATTCTCTAGGGCCATCCCTTCCCATCAGACGAGGAGGAGATTTGTAGCCATTCATAGGCCTTTCCGGGGAACGGTCAATTGGAGGTCCAGGATAGCGTCTAGGAGGAGCATGAAGTGGTGGAGAACCCCTCCTGGGAGGACTTCCAGCAACAGCAGGACGAGGCCTCTTACAGTTGTTACAAAAGTCACGCCTTGCAAAATTAAGATTACTACATCTGCAAGTAAAGGAAAAACGTTAATACATCCTCAGAATGATGCCACTGTGTTTAGACTTTAGATGCGTAACAAGAATCCAAATTTTCAAAACTACAGCGCTAACTAGAAGACTCGTACATGCGATAGGCCATTCCAATGAAAAGGAAAGTCTCATTACAATCAGAAAAACTAGCACTTACAATGAGTCAGGACACATCCAATCTCCCTCCCTAGGACGCACATTAGGATTGTTTCTACCATGGCCTTCCCCTCTTGCATGACCATGACCATGGTTGTAGCGAGGCCCATCAAAAGCTCTACCAAATGGCCTGCCGCCTGCTCTACCTCGAGCATACGGGTGTGGAGGGTCTCGATATCTGCCAGGATCTCTCCCGCCACCATATCCACGGTTTCGTGACAAGTGATTATAGTCAGAAGTGAAGCGATGATCTGCATCTCTACGGTGAACAGGAGATGAGGAACCTGCACGAAATCTATATCCTGGAAAAACAAAGACATTGTGAGGGTAAATTTATCATTTCAATCTACAAAATGCCCAAAACATTGTGATCATGCAACTTCCATATAATCAGTTTGAAATTTCAAAGGAACATTACCACTGCACAGGGCATATTACCATAATAAAAACAGGTCTATGAGTAAGGTTTACCACAAACATAAAAATTACCACCAGTATAGCCTTGACCGCAATTCTTTTTATGTCTGAATGATATACCAGACTCTGATATAGTTAATTACACAAACCACTTAACCTAAGCATCTGAAATATCAAATCCATATTCATGTTTCGGAGTCAAGATTAAGAGCTAACTTCTACAAAAAGCTAATTTGAACGTGATAAACAATAGACCAGTCATTTCATTTCACCCAATCTAACTCCAGATCTGACAATCAGAAACCAGCAACAACCATCCCCAAAGTGCAACAAAATCCTGAGGTTTAATAATATGTCCCCATCAACAAGTTGTTGGACTCCTTTTGGGACCACTTTTGTTAGTCTGCCATGGTAGCCAAGGGTCAATTTAGGTAACAATTCATGAAACGGCCCAGGCAAGAAAAAACCAATGAAGCCATGAAATGATCCCAGCAGCCAACTCTCACATCTTCTGGAATAAACTACGTCCCCAAATAACTTCAAAACAACACGAAAAAGAATTCAGAAACGGAGAAGTGCATCAGTTCATTTTTAAAAGATATGCATTCCTTTTCTGTACCACATTAGATTATCAATGCTCCCAGTTAATGCATCATCAATATGAAAAACATTAAGGATTCGGCAGAAGATACAAAGCCACGTGATAAAGAAAGCTCCTAAACTCGCATTCTACTCGTAAAGCGGTCTTCCGTGTTGTAAATAAACAACCTTCTGACATCCCTATAATTAACCAACCAAAGAAAAATCCACAGAAAGCATAATGACAACCACCAGCCAAAAACAATCATTACAAGGAATATTCCACAAGTAACCACATACATGTAGCAGGAATTGAAATAACCAGAAGTTGAATAACAAAAAAAAACCACATATAACCAACGGCACAATGAACTTTTTTCCTTGGTAAATATTATCTTTCCAAAATGTCAGGTCAGCTTGTGCAAGGTAGTAAACTACAAATTCACCCACCCACACTTCTTGCAGCAGAACCTAGATATACCAACCAAAAATTAGTTCTAACTTAAGGTTATTCACCAAAAACGATTGGTAACTGTCATTGTCTGTCCTCTACAAATCCAGTAACCACGTTGATGTTCTCCCACATTGCCCATGCAATACCATGTATGGAAAACTTCAAATTGTATCCCATATTCCTTTAAAGTTGACTCTGTCTTTACCTTCACAAACACCCAAAAACCAAACATATACCCAGGGCTTTGCAAAATGTGAACCCATGCAGCAGATATTGTGCCGCAAAACCCACCCACGAGTTCATGCAAAATGGACAACTTCCATCATTCAACAGACTTATTGACCCTTTAAAATGAAAAAACATTCCACATCATGATCCAAAGCTGAGTTCAAAGCAACATGCCTTCCTCAAAGCCCAAAACCTGAGGCAACATCAGAGCTGTAACACACAAATGCAAATTTTACTCACTGTTGACACTCCATAATCGTTAGAGCATCCATAAGTGTGGTATGCGTATAATGATTAGACAGCAGGCCTAAGAAAACCGACATCCATACATGCAGTGTCAGTCAAAAGTTTTTATAAAAAGGCACCATGACCGTTAATCATTAGAGCATCCATATGCGTGGTAGGCATGTAATGAAAAGACAACAGACCAAACAAAACCAACATTTATACACACAATTTCAGTCAAAAAAGTCTTTAAAAAAAGGCACCATGGCGCCATTAAGCTCCCATCATAGAGGGATACAATTTGAAAAGCAACCCCACCCATTAACATTAGCATAAAAAATAAATGGGAATTTTAACCTAATCCCTAATAAACCGAATACAACAAATTCAACCACCCAATTCAACTTAAAATCATGCTATCACCTATTTAAATATAAAAAACCCATGTCATAGACCATATTTCAATTTCCACAACAACAATGGACAGCAAATTTATTTAAATTGCTCCCGTGATTAGTTGTCAACTTGTCATCAATGTACGACAACGTAGTCAAGTTGATATTTCAATCAAATCCAATGCTAATTTACACACACACATTAAAATGCCCAAGAACATATCTTCATGAACTATTAGTTTTAGCAATAGTCAAGTTGACATTTCAATCAAATCCAATGCTAATTACACCCAACAAAAAGATAATAATAAACATTGCTTTCATATTTTAAATGCCACAATCAAAATAAAATAAATTTAAAAAAAAAAAAATCTAAAACTTCATACCCCCAATCTCTGAAAACAATAACATGGCAACAGTTCCCAATCTGTATTGTTTAATATCCAAATCAACGTGCAATTTCATTCAACCCGAAAACTAAATTGCAGAAAACAAACAAATCAAGCTAACGAATCAATTAAGTTTAACGAAATTCCTAAATTGAAAAACCTAATCCGATAACAGCCAAAATAAAATAGAGAGAGGGAAGAAATTACAAACCAGGATCATCAGAATAGCGATCAGAGCGGGAGTAAGGAGGCGGAGGAGGATCACGGCGAAGTTCACCGGGCTCGTAATCGTTGGAATGAGCGCCACCGGGTGAATTCTCGGCGAGGGAGGGGCGGACGACGAGGCTGCTCAAAAGAGGTTGGTGATGGTGAGGCGGAGATTGGTCGCTGTCCCTTGAAGATCCCATGGCTGTTTTTTTTCTGGATCGGTGATTGATTTCTGAATTGTGATCCACCAGGTTGGTTTTTCGATCCCGGCGAGACTGTTTATAAACCCTACACACCGTCTACTTGAATATTAATTGTTATTTTTACTATAATTTACAATTATATTACTAATATAATATAAAATATAAAATAAATAAATTAAAATTTGTTTTTTATATATAATACTACATTATATTATTACTCTTTTTTAGTCTTTTATAAAAAAAAATTAATTGAAAAAATATATCTAATTTATATATAAATTACGTATATTAAATATAATATAAAAAAATCTGAAAAATAAATTTCACTTTTATAAATAGGATAGAAATTCATAATAGTATAATTTTATAAGATATATCTAACATATGTCTAAATTAAATTTTTATTTAGTAATATTAATTCATTTTTATAAAATTTATTTAAATACATTTTATTATTTTTAAATATTTTTAGTTTTATATTTTAAATATTAAGTTTTAAATTATTTTTAGTGTTTATAATTTTATATATTTTTAAAACATTACAAGCTTTTTTAAACTCATTTTGTATTATTAAAAAAAAAGCAATTATACTTTATTATATGGATCAAAACTCATTCGATATAATTTACTAAGTGAATTAATCTGAAATTTTTTACAATAACTATGTTTTTCAATTTAAATTCTTAAATAACCATGTTTTTCACTAAATTACGTAAATAATCAGATTTTAAAACTGATTTTAGTGTAGGCGTCACTCCACGTGGCGTCTATGTTTTTTTTTTTTTTGCACGCCATGGTACATGGTGTCTACGTGCATCTGAAAAGCAAGGGCCATTTCATGTGGCTCCTATTTGTAATGTGTCTGAAAAGAAGTGATACATAATGGCTCTTATGTGTTATGGCATTTTCTATAAATAAAACTTTCATCCTCCACCATTTTTCACACCTCTTATCACTTTCTCTATAATTTCTTCTTCATGGCATGTGACGTGATTTTCAAAAGCGATGGGTATGTTTGTTTCTCTCCTGTCAAACTCCCGATTACAATAAAATTTTGGAACATCCATTCTAAGGAGCGTCTTAAGAGAGAGTTGAGTAGATGGTTAGACAGGGACATCCAAGATGGCGAAGTCATTAGAAGAATTCAGAGACAAAGAACGGCCACCTCACTTGCGATCAGAAAATCTCAATGTTGGTGGAAAGATGTCAAAAATGATAGGGACATAATGGTGATGACACATGGATCAGATAAAATTGTTTTGACAGTTGTAATTTCTTTGATATTTTGACGTGTTAACTAATGCGATTATGAGAAGGTTTATGATGCATTTGAAAACACTGTTCATTGATTCCATAAAATTTGTTGTCATGTGGCCTCATTGTTGTCCATTATCGTATGCCCTTGTCCATTTCTCTTTGGCAATATTATCAACTCATCTGCCCGCATCAGGATTTGGCAATCTAATCTCGCAGAGATAATATTGGAATGATGGTTAAGTTAATGCATACCCCGTATTCACAAGAGTTTTCTTAAGAATATTGTCATTGATATCCCGCATGAAACTTTGTGCAATATATCTAGTGCGGTATACATGTGTAGAAGGGGGTTATGCCAACAATTAGTCGGATTGTTGTATGCACTCTCGATAGAAGCAAGTTTGTCAGAAATTAAAACAGAGAGTGGGTTGGGGAGCTACGTGTGTTCAAAGATTCTTGAGAAAGAAACTCCAAGCACTAGCAGTTTCTCCTTCGACCAGAGCGAATGCAATCGGGAAAATATTATTATTGAGAATGTACACGCCACACGGGGTGACGCCTTTATATAAGGGAAATAATTAATTTTATTTATTGGTTACTTTATTTATATAGTAGTGTCATTTTTTTATTAATTTTTAATATTATTAAAACAACGATAAAAATTCCATCTACACGTAGACGCCATATGAGATGGTGTGTCCTAAAACCAGTACACATAGGAGCCATTTCATATAGCGTGTTCACCTGATTTTAACACATAGACGTCATGCAAGGGTGGCGCCAACACTATTTCACAATCCTAAACCTGATTATTTAGATAAATATTTTGAAAATTTGATTATTTGCGTAATTAACTAGAAAAATATGATTATTGTAGAAAAATTTCAATTAATCATAGTAACTCTTATTTATATATATATATATATATATATATATATATATATATATATATATATATATATATATATATATATATATATATATATATATATATATTCATTTTCATTTTCATTTCTTAATAAATTAAGTCTATATTAACGCATATTAGGGGTGGACACAGATCAATTTCGGTTGGGTTCAGATGAAAAAACCCCAATCTGATCAAACCAGCGGTTGAGAATGTTCCATCCAGACTCGTTTGTCTAGTACATCGATTAAGGTGGTTCTCACTAAATCGGGTTGATAGATATACATATGGATATTTGTGATTCTGCAAGTATAAGAGAAAGAGAGGAAACACAAATTTTCAGCAAATCTAATAGATGAGTCGTGATTGTTGTATCTTTTTTCCCTTTTTGAAGCAAATCTTGGAACAGAGAGCCATAAATTGTGGGTAGCTTTTGTATTAGTTAAGACATAATAGGTTGTGGAAAATTATGTTAAGTTTGTATGTATGCCATTGAGAGAGAAAAAAAGAAAGATTAACGAAGACGAGGGAAAACTCGAAAAAAAGAAGGATGAACGAAGATTAAGATTTTGTACAAGTGATTCCAGCAAAAAATATATTTTTTATTAAATTAATCAATAAATATAGTATCATTTTGAGAATTTTTTTTGTTGCAATAACCAGGTATTAAAAAAAATCGCAAATAACCATGTTTCGGAAAAAAAAATTACGCAAATAACCATGTTTCAGATGACTCCCTAAAGGAGGAGCCATCTCACTTGGCGCCTACACCTATTTTTTAAGGGGAGACTCCATCTCACTTGGCGCCTAGGTGCTTAAGGCTTGCCCTAAGCCAAGTGAGATGGCGCCTTAGTGCATTTCTAGGGCAATTTTCGCGTTTTTTTTTCAATCCGGTGCATTGCGTATTCGATATAGGATCAACAAAATTGACTTTTTATTTACAAAAAATAATTACACCCATAAGTATTACATAAAAAATAGATTAAAAAAAGCAGGTTAATCAGTGGTCCCCCGAAACCTGGTAATGACCCCCGGTTCCGCATCCCCGTCCTCGCCTTTCCCGTGCTGGGTGTCATCGCGTTTCCTGTTGTGGCAGGGTCGATGGCCCAGCGAAGTCAATGCGTTTCGGATCCATGAAATCAGTCAGGTCTCCATATCTAGAAGATCCTCTTTGGTACAGTCGGTTACCCATACCCTCAAAGTTTGGTCGTGTTGGCGGTGGGTGGGGTTCCATGGTGGGTCTGTAGCATTGATCATCTGAGTACGGGGGGTAGAAAGGAAATGGATCTTGGGGTGTTTGGTATTGAGGATGTTGGGTGGTTTGGTGATACTGTGGTTGATGGTAAGTTGGGTCGGTTGGTTCACAATCTTCCGACATTCCCAGATCAGGGCTAAGGCTGGATGTTGAGGGGCCCATATTGGGATATACAGAAGACTGAAATTGTGTGTGAG